GATTTCTTTCCTTGGTTCAAAGACCTTAGGGTCATGGTTTCATTGGTCATTTCAGACAATTGGCCTAATATTATTGTTAGTGTTTCTGTTTTATTTCCTAGTTTGCTGTATGGTGCCTGGGATCTTAAAAAACAGATGATGTCCAATTACCATTTATTGAGCATTTTTGATAAAAGATTCTATAACAAGCTCATGATCCAAAGGAAAGAATGATGAGAGAGTTGTATATAATTCTCCTGGAATCCAGATTTCTGTCTTTTAGGGAGGTTGAGGCAACACACACGGGATATTTGCCTTTGGGTGTCCTCTTGAACCTTGAGCTTTGAGAAAAAAAACTGGTTCCTGAAGATACTTTGAGTCAAACAATGGTCCAGATAAACTAGTAAGACCGTTTTGCTCTGGGTATTGAGTTTTTTTTTTTTTTTTTGAAGAATTCAGTCAGTTTTAGGAAACTAACTTCAAAGATCAGACAGAGTTATGTTTAGGGTAAATTAGTAACTAGTTTAGGCAGTCTTTAAGACAATGTCATATGAAATACCTGTCTAAGGTTTGTAATCAAACTGTCAGCCTCTTACGATGCAGAAAATTATTTATCTTGAAAAAACCAGATTCTCAGAAGAGTTCGACCTCATGGTTCAGGCTCTGTTTTGTCTTTGGTTCCATTTCTGCTTCTGACAAAGTGACTCATGACTGTTAATAGGTAAACCAAGGAGGGGCAGCTTGCCCTTGGGAAGAACACTTAATATGTTTTAAACAGACTAACTGAAGACCTCCTACAGGAAAGGTCCATCCTATATTATCTTGCTAATCATTAGTTCTCTAATGAAAACTTGTCACTTGTAAATTTTTCTATATCTTTTGTTTCTTCTAGATAAACTTTGTGTGCTTCTTACGAATATATGTTTCTGTGTGGTAGATCCAACTATACTAATTTAGATGATTCCTTTCCAACTGGTAGTGAATTTATGTGGGCAATCTGTTTAGATTCCTGACAAATGTGTGGACAATGCACTTTGGAAACTTTAGAATTATCTTTAAGTATTCATAGTAATTATGCTAGTAAATACTGAAAAGGTAATGTTAAAATTGTAAAATGAAAGTCAGAAGAAAACCCATTGGTCCAACATTCAGGGTATGGTTGGTAGCTTTAATTCCTACCTATGGTATATCTGAATTGGAGAAATCTTTAAGAAAAATTTGTCAGTCTATGGGACAAATAACAGATGAGACAGAAGCACAACAGTGATCTCTGATCTCATAAGCCAAGGTGACATGAGATAACAAAATAACCTTAGATATTTTCATTAGTACAAGAAAGTGTAGTCTGTGCTGTAGACAAGATATACACAGAATTAGACAGCAAGGTACTTGATTACACATTGTCACACCCTTACAAACACCAGATCTATTTGGTTAGTTACCATCAGGAATAAGTACATGGGCTAGATCACTACTGCAAGGGATAGTAATATTCTTGGTCTGCATCCTGATAGGATTAGGTATAAGCTTTATCCTCTATTGTCTTACACACCTAAAAGGCAAAAGAAGGCTTCAGGCCAAAATGTTGATGTACATTGAGTCTGCTCACTCTGGCAATGCCATTGATGAGAACATCGCTCTTACTTTATAACCTGGTGAAGAACCAGATGGTATCCAGTGGAAAATCAGCACCGTGAGTTTAAAGAGCCTGCAATGGCTGCCATCTAGGAGCTCGATTAAGTCCAGGTATTGATCATCGATGTGTTATCTCCAATCTCCAATCAAAAGGAGGGACTGATTTAGGAAATAATACTGGAGTTATTATTCCCTCTCCTTGAACATACAGGATGTGACCCAGCAGGAGCTGAGCCCTCACAGGCTCACAAAGACACATCAACTGAGCCCTAAGATAAGACAACGGATGGGACAATCTCAGAAATTATCTTAAGGAAGTTTTCACAAAAGGGCAATAAAACCTAACCCAAAGGACTTCTCACCTTTTGTCTTCTTCTATTAACATTTAGTGAATAGGAATTTGTTGGACCAATGAAGACCCTCCTGATTTTCCTAACTGAAACCTGTACCAATGATTGTTAAGAAAGATGATTCAAAATGTAAGATTACAATTTCTAGCCAATCAGTGAAAAAGTGACGCTTTCAATGATTCTACCCATTTTGTGATGTTGATATAAACTGATGGTTCTGTAACCTTCCTTGGACTCGGGCAGACATGGCTGTGGCAGCATGCTTATCCGTTTTCCCATTCTTGCCTATTCTGTGATGTTCTTTGGATTCGGGCAGACATGGCTCTGGCAGCATGCTTGTCCACTTCCCACTTTTGTCCTTTTGAATATATGCCAAATAAAACTTTCTTTTTACTTAAAAAAAAGTTTTTAATTTTGATAGAGTCTAATTCTTTAGTTGTTCATGCTTTAGCTGTCACATCTAAGAATTCATTGTCAAAACAAGGTCTTTAAGATTTATCCTTAGGTTTTCTTCTAAGAGTTTTATGGTTTTAGTTCTTATATTTAGATAATTAATCCATTTTGAGTTAATTTCTCTATATGCTCTGAGGCATGGGTCCAATTTCATTCTTTAGCATATGGAGATCCCGGTATTCCAGAACCATTTGTTGAGGAGACTATCTGGATAATTTCATTTCATATGTCCTAAATAAAGTCCTTTATTTTTCTTTTCTGATAAATATATTTGTCTGAATCTGGCATCCAAAATACTCTGCCATTTTAGAATTAGAAACAGTCCGTCTTTACTCTCTAAAAGAATGTGTGTGTAATTGGCGTGATCTATTTTTTGAAAGGTTGGTTGGCTTGGTGTTTCTTTTGTGGGAAAATTTTTAAATATCATTCAATCTTTCTCTTCTAATTTCTGGAATTTCTATCTTTGGGAATGTTAGAATTTTCTAGAATGTTTTAAATTTTATCCCTCAGTGAGAGATAAGCAAGAGCATAATTACAATAGGTCTTTTCTCATTTCATCTTCCCACATCCAGCAGTTTCCCTCTATTACCAGGAAATACCAGCACTCCTCACACATAAGCCAGTTCAACAACTTTATATACTATTTCATATTTAATTTTTTAAATAATGTTTAACATGTATATAATTATCCCAGTTAAAGTGAAGAGGAAACTAAAGCTAATAAAAAGCAGGTAAAGTGCTGAGAATGATACTATTTGCAGGTTATTTATATGACTACAAACCGTTTATACTCTTTCCTCAATGACATAGTAAATTTACGAATGAAGTCAGGACTGAAAAAAATGAAGGAAGGAATAAACAAACGGATAAAGTACTTAACCAAGGAATGCGACCTATAAACTTTGTTGCTATAAATGCTTCTGCATATTTTTGTGCAAATGCATAATTAAATTACATTTCTTTAATCAGTGAGCATCTTCAGTGGGTGAAATCATACCCCATGAAGAACTATTTCCTTTAAAATATTTTCTCTGTATTTTATTTGCAGATTTTTCTAAAGCATATGACGTCTCTCAATGGCCTAAGGTAATCAGGTCTGGATTCTTATTCTAATCTGATCACTCTCTTGACACAAAAGGCCGAAAACCTCATGCCGTAAAACAGAATGGAAGATTTTTATGTGACTTTGGGCACATAGCATGTGCACTATAACAGTAAAATATATCTCTGAGCATTAAGTTAAATAACACCAGTCACATGCCCAAGGCCACAAAACTAAACAGTGGTAAAGCCAGAATTTATTCTCAGTCTCAGTACAGAGCTCTTACTTTTAACAACTCCATTTGAGCCCCTGCCCTCTAGAAGTTCGCAAGCACATAAATGTCCCTACTCACAAACTTCACACAATGAGTTACAGGGATCATAACACCAAGTTTAAATGAAAACTTTGCATCTGCTGTTAAACTGGGATTTTATAATGGTTACGGCTTTAAGAGATGATGGGGTGGGGGCAGAGGACACTGCAGTCAGGAAAACTGGCCTGACTGAAGCCCAGAGCACAGGAAATCCTTGAAAAAGAATGATTGACTAGTAGGATTTGACATTATTTCTGAATGAAGGCAAAAGTGAAGGGAAAGGAATAGATGGGGTAAAATCTATTATTTATTATTCTTAGAATATTTTATTATATTTGCAGCCCCAATGTGAAATGTACTATCCAGAATATAATTATCCAGCACACTGTCCTGATGTTACATCTTATATTTGTGCTACAACTGGCTACACTTACAAGAATGAGTGTTTCCTATGTGTTGATCAGGCGTAAGTTCACAATAAAATACCATTAATTTTATCTATACTTCTTTATAGGTATTTCAAATATCCTTAGCCAAAAAATTGGAGTTTACTGATACGTGAGATTTTCTTAAATAGCCTCTATTGTTTACAAAAGGCTGGGGACAGACTACATGTATAGTAAAGAACAAAGTCTCTATTAAAAGTTTAATAAACATTTAAAGTTGATATTAAAAAAAGAAAGAAAGAAAAGCTTACATGATATGTTGGAAGAATTGTACAGAGATCATATTTGTACATAGTCCATAGATTATATTAAAGCAATAAATGGAAATCCATTTTTTTTAAATCACCCAAATTTTCTTTATCAGGTCCCACTGACAAACCTATGAATAACACCTAGTAAAGTTGCTTGGTAGATATAGATAGATACAGATATAGACAGAGACATAGACGTATATACAGATATAGCTATGCACTACTGACATAACAACGTGGTTATGTGAATAAAAATTGACGGTCAACTTTTAATTTTTATTTTTGTCTTTCAAATAAATTCAGTGGAAATTTTAGTTTAAAAATAAATATTCCTTCTGATATATTTTAGATCAATTTAAAATTATTTTTACAAATCAGCCTGTATCTTGTCAATAACTCTTCCATGCTCTGTGAGCACTTCCTTTGGGAAGATTCCTCATGGGCTTCCAGCATCACATTCCCATTCCATGGTGACCATTGCTGAGCACTGAAAGAGATGGGGAGTAGTTTGTGCCTCTTGAGAAGTTAGCCCAATAAAAGAAAGACATGCTCGTACTGGAGCAAGCACTAGCCTTTGAGGATGACTGAGATTTCCTTTAAAGGAAAAGAATGGAAACTGAAAAGTGTGAATTAACTAAATCTCTACCATTGCCTTCAAAAAAAGGTTAATGAGAACTCATGGACGATAATAAAACTATGCAGAATAATTAAATTACATTATTGTTCCTTCTTAATGCAGTTGCTGTTGTTTTCTGAGATAGGAGCTAATTAGACAAGAAACTTGAAAAGTGTCTTTTTAGTTCTTTCACGTAAGTCTCTCTGCACACTCTTTGGTACTTGGACACACATCACTAAAAAGAGCATTATAAGAGAGATTCACCCACAATGGCCTGGCCTTTTGGAAAGTAACACAGGTTGATGCGGAGGCACCATGTGGGCTTTGGTCCTCACTGGTCTACAACTCCACAGCTTCCCCAAAGTCCATTCTGAGATTCCTTTCAACCTCACCTAGGAGACTGAGAAAGCTATGACTTCACAGAATAGTCTCAGCAGTTCAAAGATCATGCCTCAAGTCAGTTCTGCCAGAAATAAGGAAAAACTATTTCCTTGTTTCCTTCCATCTTTCCTTTCTTCCCTCCTTTTTTCCTTGCTTCCTTCCTTGTAACTCTGCTAGATATACTGTGAACACTCCAGCCGTTATTTCTTAATCTAAAAGTAAATGAGGATCCCTTGTTGGTTAAAAGAGAAAACGTGATTTAGTAACATTGGAGCCAACATGAGTACAGTTGACATCAAACATATCTAATTCTGGAACACAGAAAATACTGATGCCAAAGGCAGAAGTGGGGCAATGACCTATATATTGTTTTCATTCTCCGTGTCACGTAGACGCGTAATCTTGGCCTTCATATCATTTCTAGATCTGGGGGCTAAAAGAACTGTCCTGATGCTCTTGAGTAATGGGAGGAAAAGAGTAATTCCTTGGTTTCTGCTCTTGGCAATAATTTGAAGAAAAGTCCTAACAAATTGAACTCATAACCCAGCTAGATATCCTCCACTTGTGAACAGTGTAAATCCTTTGAGGAAAAACTGAAGAATCTTGGTCAGAATTGTTACAGAATCATAGTCACTATTCTAAAAGAAACACCCATGTCTACTCAGTGCAGGGCTCTGATATAAGTACCAAGAAAATAGAGAGTTATATGAAACAGACCCGAGACTCATCGAAAGCTTGCAGTCATACTTGGCAAAAAGAACATATGCATAGCAAAGTTCATTATTATAGAAAGAAGCATTGGTTTTGTTTGACTCAATAGTGTTTTAGTAAGTTTTGAAATAACTTATTTAAAAAATCATATTTTACCTAAAAATATATCATTACCAACTTCTTTTGGAAAACCAAACCAAAAAACAAACTATAAGCCAGGATTTTACATGTAAGAACTAAGCAGTATCGTGCTAATAGTAGCTGCCAACTCAAATGGAATTCAGACATTCCAGGTATCTATAGACCTGCCTCTATTATGGTGAAGGTGCTTACCTTATCTATTTTGTATTACCTGCTTGGCTTCTACAACCATTTATGTTTGTAACCCCGAACCAAATGAGCGGATCAGAAATATTTCAAAGGTAAGCTGGATTATGGGGGTTATGGTGGGATCTCTTGAAGGAAGAGAAAGTTAAAGGATTTTTTTTTTAATAATATTTTATTGTGTTTTAGGTGACAGTTTACACAGCAAATTAGGTTCCCATTCAACAATTACTACACAAATTGTTCAGTGGCATTGATTGCAAGGTTAAAGGATTTTAAAAGAAATAACATAAGCAGCAGAAAATGGAACAAACCATCTACACAGAGGCAACTGTTTGGGAAAACATTCAGAACAGAGAAAACGTGCAATGCCTTTGTTGTTGTTGGTTGCCGTTGAGTCGATTCTGACTCGTGGCAACCTCATGTGTTACAGAATAGAACTGCTCCATAGAGTTTTCTTGGCTGTAGTCTTTACAGAAGCAGATTGCCAAGCTTTCTTCTACAGTGCTGCTGTACATGCTCAAACTGCCAAACTTTCAGCTAGTAGTTGCGTGCTTAACCATTATGCCACCTAAGGACTGCAATATCTTCAGAGAAACAATAAAGAGAAAGATTTGTCAAAAGGAATGCTATACATTTGGAGAATAGTAATATATAAGCTCACTGTTATGGATTGAATTGTGTCTCCCCAAAATGTGTGTCAACATGACTAGGCCATGATTCCTGGTACTGTGTGGTTGTCCATCATTTTGTGATCTGATGCGATTACCCTATGTTTTATAAATCCTAACCTCTATGACGTTAATGAGGCAGGATCAGAGACAGTTATGTTAACGAGGAAGGACACAATCTACAGGATTAGGCTGTATCTTGAGTCAATCTCTTCTGAGATATAAAAGAGAGAAGTGAGCAAAGGAGAGAGGCCTCATTACCACCAAAAAAGAAGAGCCAGGAGTGGAGCACATCCTTTGGACCAGAGTCCCTGCACTAAGGAGCTCCTAGATCAGGGAAAGATTGATGACAGGGACATTCCTCCAGAGCCAACAGACAGAGAAATGCTTATCCTGGAGCTGGGGCCCTAAATTTGGACTTCTAGCCTCCTCGACTGTGAGAGAATAAGTTTCTGTTTGTTAATGTCATCCACTTGTGGTATTCCTGTCACAGCAGCACTAGATAACTAAGACAGTCACCACAAGTCCATCAGTCTGTCGTACTGTGGTGGCTTGCATGTTGCTGTGATACTGGAAGCTACGCCACCGGTATTTCAAATACTAGCAGGGTCACCCACGGTGGACAGGTGTCAGTGGAGCTTCCAGACTAAGACAGACTAGGGAGAAGGACCTGGCAGTCTACTTCTGAAAAAAAATTGGTCAATGAAAACCTTATGAATAGCAATGGAATATTGTCGATATAGTGCTGTAAGACGACCCTCTCTGGTTGGAAGGCACTCAAAATACGACTGGGGAAGAGCTGCCTCCTCAAAGTAGAGTCGACCTTAATGACAAGAATGGAATAAAGCTTTCAGGACCTTCATTTGCTGCAGTCAGGAAATCAAACAACTTATTGCATTGGGCAAATCTGCTGCAAAAGATCTCTTTAAAGTGTTGAAAAGCAAAGATGTCACTTTAAGGGCTAAAGTGTGCTTCACCCCAGCCATGATATTTTCAATTGCCTCATATGCATGTGAAAGCTGGACAATGAATAAAGAAGACCAAAGAAGAATTGATGCCTTTGAATTATGGTGTTGGCGAACAATATTGACTATACCATGGACTGCCAGAAGAACAAACAAGTCTGTCTTGGAAGCAGCACAGCCAGAATGCTCCTTAGAAGTGAGGATAGCAAGACTTCATCTCACGTACTTCGAACACGTTATCAGGAGGGACAGTCCCTGGAGAAAGACATTATGCTTGGTAAGGTAGAGGGCCAGTGAAAAAGAAGATTCTCCATGAGATGGATTGACACAGTGGCTGCAACAATGGGCTCAAACATAGCAACAATTGTGATGATGGCAGTGTTTCATTCTATTGTTCATAAGGTTGCTATTAGTCAGAACCAACTCGTTGGCACCTAACAACAACAATGTATAAGGATGAAAAGTTAGGCAGAGGGTAGTCTTCTGCAAAACATAAATACCAGAATAAGAGCAATAGATTCTAGTCTTTGAGCAATGTGAATCTACTGAAAGTTTTGAGCAGAGTGCATTACATGAATTATTACGCATAAAACTACTTCTCTGTTAAAAAAAAATCTGTATTGTAATGTTGAATGGAAAAGTATTGAAATAGAAGTGAGTTAGGGCATGAAAGACTCTATGTTGAAAAACTTAATAGAAGACTTTTTGAATAATCTAGCCGTAGAGGAGGAAAGTTCATACCATGGTGGCAACAACAGGAATGGAAAAGAAGAGGTGGGTGTAAAGGAAATTGAAAAAGCAGCTCCCTTTTTTGGGATTTTATTTAGAAGATGGAAACCCTGGTGACGTAGTGGTTAAGAGCTATGGCTGCTAACCAAAAGGCTGGCAGTTTGAATCCACCAGCCGCTCCTTGGAAACCCTATGGGGCAGTTCTACTCTGTCCTTAGGGTTTCTATGAGTCGGAATCGACTCAACGGCAATGGGTTTGTTTTTTCAGTTTTTTATTTAGAAGATAAGACAGAGTACATTCAAAAGAGATGTCCACTCTCCTTATGATACTAATCTTTTTTATTATTTCTCTTCTCTTTAGGTCAAATAATAATATTCAATTTGAAAAACATGGAAGATGTGAAGACTAGGTAACAGAGTGTCTACACTTGCTTATTCTTTTGACTACTAAATTGTGAAGATTATTCCTCTTGGAATTTGAGGGTATATATTAAATAACACACCCCTACTGCTGCACCCAAGTTTGAAACAAAACAAGAGAGAAAAAAGGGATCAAATTAATGGAGATCCAAATATCACATTTATTATGAATAAACATATCAACAGATCTGGTAGATACTGATCTCTGTGTACTAATTGTTTAAAGCCAATTTCCATTTGTTTGGGTCTAAGTTCTAACTAACACTCCCCTGAATTAAACTTACCCCAAATCGCAGGCCCTTCTGCAGGATGGTACCCTGCTCCACTAATCTCATTAAAGTCCTGGAGCAAAAGAGAAGATAACCTTCCCCAAAATAGCAGGCCCCAAAAGAGGGGGTCACTGAGCAGCCCAGCCTAGTTTCTATTTTCAAACTTATCAAATAGATAAGTTACCCTTCCTATGGTGGAGAAGTAAAATAACAGAGATTAGATGAGGGATTAACATCCCTAATGGCTTTTCCCCCTCAAAGAAAGAAAGAACACAGACCTAGGAATAAAGAGACCTGAATTTTGGCCTCAGTTTTTTCACTAACTGTTTAATTTTGGGTCACAGTAGCTACCATTGTCCTTAACAATAATGGCTCCAAAATGTGTTTGGTTTGGCTTCCTGTTGCCATCGAGTTGATTACGACACATAGCAACTCTATAGGACAGAGTAGAACTGCCCCATAGGGTTTCCAAGGAGTGGCTGCTAGATTCGAACTGCTGACCTTTTGATTAGCAGCCGAGCTCTTAACCTCTGTGCCACCAGGGATTCTTGATTTGGCTTATTGTATTGTTTATTCAAAAGAATAACCCATCCACTTAAACTGGCATTGGCCGTATATATTGCCTTATATATACTGAATATCCTCACGATAGCTACTACTGCTCCTCCACTCACTAGCAAGCAAGATCAGGGTTTTAAAAACAACTATGGGCTTACATCACATAGCAGGAATATTCTGGGATTGGATGGTTTCTCTGTAACATTGAACGTTACCATAGGAACTTAGGCATGATCAGTGGGGTGAACATCTTTTGCTGCTGTCTGAATATTCACTCATCCATCTTCTAGTAACTAAAATCCAATTTCTCTTTTGTGGATTATCCAAACCTCAGGTTTGTGTCTTCTGTGTGTTGGCTCCATCCTGGTCAAGGGTGGAGCATACAGCCTGGGCCAGTGTCAATCAACAAATGGAATTTCTCTGGTTCAGGCATCAGCACATGACCAAACAGAGCCATTGAGACTTTAGTCTTCACCTGGAAATTCTGAGAGAAAGAAACTCCCGCTTTTCTCCTGGACACACCCTGGGAAAATGTTTCCTCAGAGTCAAAGGCAGCCATCTGTGAGAACAAAATTTAGAAAGTCCCTTTAAGAATGAAGTCAAAATAGAGGAGGCAGAGAGAGAAAATGGACAGAAACATTGGTCTCCTGTCTCCAGCCATGCCTAAATCAGGTATACTCCTCGAGATTTCCTTTACATGCACTAATCAATTCTTTTCTTAATCCAGTTTGTGTCATCTTTTCCGTTTCTTGAGACAAATCAAATAATACATGAAAGAACAAAGGATCTAGAAAAAATGATGAATCCCTGAATGTTTAGTTTTTGTAGAGATCCTTTCCCAAAGAGTTTTTGTATTGGAAACCATAGTCTTTTCCCTGGACACAAAGGCAGTGTGGACATCCCAGCCCTGGCATTTTAAATGTCAGGCATGATACTCTTAAGTGTGTTTACATGTTTGTGGTACACGTTTGTGCAACTATGCTTTAAGATTTGTTCCAGTTCTAAGAATTGACAACACAATGAGATTGCAAGGCACTCAACACCTCTAGGATCAGTACTGGTCCACAAAGTCTGCCTCTGCAGGAAATTTTACCCCTAACAGAAAGGAAGGCCTGCTCCTGGAAAATGCAAATGGTGTTTACCCCATGAGTGTTCATGGAGGGTGCTACCCCAGTGCATGTTCATGGGGAGAGGAGGTGTCCTCGTGGTCAGAGGTGGAGCTCAACTGAACGGACTGAACTGAGAGATAGACGTGAAGCACCAGGAGTTGGGTGCACTGCCTCCTCCTACTTGTGCGCTTTCCGGTCCCTGAGCTCCACTTTCTCTACCTTAACCATAAGGATTTTACACCTAACCTACAGGATTCCTGTAAACATTAAGGAAGATTATACCTGGGGAAATCTTTGTTTGAATAAATTTCATAGAATCTGGTATATGATCTCACTTAGTACATCTTACAGTAGATCAGTACAGTTTTTTGTTTTACATACATGTCAATTTTATCTTTCCACTTGACTCATTTCAAAAGAATTCCAGGCTGACATGGAATCTATATCTGACAAGGGCCTAAGAGCCAGTGGTGGCAGTTCCATTTACAGGCTTACGTGAGGAGGAGAAAGAGTTATTTTGCTCCTCTCTCACTTCTACAAAAGTAAATAAACCCAGCCTCACTCCCAGGTAGCAAGGCATGGCCAGACGTGGTCTAAAGGATGTTGTGGTGGTGATGTTGCTGCATTGGGTATAAAAACTGTCTGATCCTTCCATGTTATATTACTTGAGAAACTGTGGGTACAGAAGATACTAGTTTAAAAAATGGTGTCATTTTTATCCACCTCATTTATTGGTTGTGAAGTTATACATGCCAAGTCTTGTAATGAATGCTTTACATAAGTGCTTTCATTTAATCCTCACAATAAAATTCTTCAGTAAGTACAGCCATCTCCATTGTTCACATTACATCTGTATACATATTTCCCTTAATGAGTACATAATAAGCATGTAATAGGTTCTGGTCTTTCATGCATATTCAAAGAGAAATCATGGGCATCGTTACTATCCACATAAAAAAAAAAAAAACACAAACAACCAAGAATAAGCACATATTAAAAGTGGTATCTTCTATTCTGATTACTTTGTGGCTGAATGACTTATGGGAAATCCAGGCAAAGATGCTAAATATTTATGTCTAAAAATGGAATTGCAATGGGGAGTGACAAAAAGTTAGGAAGTTTCCGGTGTATAGATATTGGAGCATAGAGGATCAGCTAAGTTCCCTTGCCTCACACACACACACACACACACACACACACACACAGGTATGTACTGTTGTTTGTGGTTTTTCTGCCTCAGCCTCGTGGATGAAGCCCATATGCATTAGGAGAGAACAATGTCCACATACTAACAGAAGGAGGAAGAAGGAGAATCACAAGATTTTGGAGGGCGGGTGTATTTGTGTGTGTGCATGTGTGCATGTGTGCGTGTGTGTGCATGTATGTGTGTGTGAAAATATACACACCAAAACATTCACCAATACAACAATTTCCACCTTTACAATTCAATGGTATCAATCACATTTTTTTTTATGTTGTGCCAGAACAGGTGTATTTTTGAGAGGGAGAGAGAGTCAGTATCATTTGACCCCCTAGATCCAGCGCTACTAACCAAAAGTTCAGCAGTTTGAACCCACCCAGCAACTCTGCGGGAGAAAAGACCTGGTGATCTGCTCCCATAAAAGATTACAGCCTAGGAAACCCCAAAGGGGAGTTCTACTCTGTCCTATAGGGTCGCTATGAGTCGGAATCAACTCAAAGGCACACAACAACAACAAGAGATCCAGCACTACCTCATGCTCACTCCATCCCATCCTTCCTATTACTTCAGTCCATAAATTCCTTTTGCTTTTTGGATTAATCTGACTTGTTCTGTCACTTATAACTAAAAGACTCTTAATTAATACAGAGGGATGAAGTCATTATTATGTTTGAAGACGGAGGTAAAAATTGAAAAAAAACACTAACTTTTGTTTGGAGTCTGTGTTCTGTGTGCCATTACTTGTTGTCACCACTAGATGGCAGCCTTGCTCTTTGAGCGCAGTTTTATCAGCCCAAGTCTTTAACCAAGATTTATCCAGAACAGTCTAGAGAATGGCATATAACTCTTTACTTTTTCCATCACCTTTCCGTCTAGTAGCACAGTCCACCTCTACTGATACACAGGAGTTTCATTCTCCTGCATCTTCCTGCCTCCTGTCTCCTTTGCCCCTAGTCAGTAGGTTCCATCATGTTTCCCCTCTATGGGGCTAGGGAAATAGAGCTTCAGATCTTTCAAATAACCTCAAAGTAAAGCATCTACTAAAATATAGACCTTCTCTTGTTAATATTGGCAGTACTTATAGCTTAACATTCATTATTTAGGCTCTCCATCTCCTTTCTCTGCCTTACTAAAAATAACAAAATCAAAAACTAAATCCTTTCCCAAAAAGAGAAAAGAGGGAGGGAACTTGTCCTACCACAAAATAAGAAGGGGAAATTAAGGAAAATTCTATCCATCATTTTTACCCCTTCAAGTATGAGACAGCGCACAGTTATTGTATTTTAGTAGGAGAAGAAATGGGGCATAGTGTAGAAATCCCTGATTTATAAGTCCCTTCACTGTTGTGTGAAAATTCTGAGCAGGGTGGGAAACAGACATGAACACAAGCATGGAAACTAAGCGCATATGAATCTGAGGGGGAGCTAGGAGAGGTTAATGGGTCTGAACTCAGAATGGAAACAACCATCTGAAGTTTCAGATGAGAACAGAGGCATTCTAGGCAGGAAGGGGCAGTTTGACACCTTGGTCCAGCCTTCTGGGTGGAAATAGAGTTCTAACAATAATGAGCCAGTATTCACTGAGCACATACACCGCACCAAGTGGCATTATAAGTGCTTTATTTTTTCTGTTTCAATTAATCCTCCCTGGAGTCCTTTGAGTCTGATATCATTCTCACCTTCATCTTATATATAAGAAAATTAAACTCAGACAAGGTAGATAAACTGTGCAATCTCATAGCTTATAATGGGTGAGGCTGAATTCAAACTATCCTGCTCCTAACCACAACCTTATGTTGGCTATGAACTCAAATGGGACTTGAAAAATGATAGGCAAAGATTTCCAGGCATGGACCAGTAACTTGAAATTTGCTTCAGAAAATGAAGGGCCCCAAGAGACCAAAGAAAGAGGTGGCCAACTCCAGTGTGGCAGCAAAGGAGTTTATTAGGGA